ATTCTATGATTCTATGAACAGCATAAGCAAATGAGCTGGCTAGCTTTTTGATGGTGTTTGAGAAGTTTCTGAGTGGCTCTGTAGAGCTGGACTACCTCCGCTGACAGAGGACTAGCCTCAAAAGGTTTGGGAGTGCCTCTGGGCTGAGGCTAATGCCATCCCTGATGTTTGCCATGAGACACTGCCATTCCCCCACCAGGCAGCTCAGACAGATCAGACACAGTTGGGTTCGCACCACCTCACATTCAGCTGCTTGAATTGTTTGTTGCTCTGCGTCAGACTCTGTCATATGCCATGCCTATCACTGCATCAATGGAAAATGCAAGAAATCCCTCATAAAGCAGAGTTTCCACCTCCTGTTTTCTCAACAAAAGTCTTTTCCTAACTCAGTGCTCTCCTTTGCAGAGATTTAAATTCAAGAAGTGTTCTGCTTGAAGTTTTGCAAGGGTTTGGCAAACACAAAAGCCAAGATGTGCTGGCTGTTTTCAAATAGCACTTGGAATGAGCTGTGATCAAAACCAAATTCCCTCCTCCTCAGTGCAATTTCTGGCCCTCTATCTGTGAGCTCCCAGTCTCCCCAGTATATATCTATAAAAGAGCCCTAGTGAGAGGATGGTTGGGGCAAGCATTTGCCTTTTAGCAAAGCCCTGCAGTGCTTTCATATAAGAAACAAGAGCTTAGGGGGACTGGAAGCAGTTGCTATGTTTGTGTTGACTGGCCATGGTTTTCAGCTGCTGGGGGTTTCCAAAGCAAATGAAACGTTAATCATCAAAGCCGGCTCCCTCCCCTACTTTCAGTTGTTGAAAACACTACAAAGTAAGATGGAAAGAAACATGTAATCCTTCATCATCACAGTGAGCATTTACTTGTTTATTTAGATTCCCTGTCTGTTCCAAATGTTCTGCCAGAGAAAGCCCATCCAGGCTCCAGGAGTGCTTGACACACATAAAAAAATATCTAGATGTATATAGGAGATAAATCCAGCAGAAGACACTGCCTTTCCTCACAGTGCACCAGTGCTGCAATCAGCTGAAAGTCCCGCTTGCATAATAAAGTATCTCAGGATGCTTCTTGTAGGAAAAAAAAGGAAGAAATATCACCCTGGGCAGAAATAGATTTCAATGGTGGCTCCTCTCTCTAGACCAGAAACTTTAGGTGGGACTGTCCTTGAGTCCCAGGCACCTCCTCTTTTTCTGCTTGGAAAATGTTGCCCAGGTAGAAAACATGGAACTTGGTACCTTTGTAATCAGTGAAATGAGATAGTTGTGTTTAGAGGGTGATTCCTGCCACTGCCCTAGGAGACAGAGATCACCCTCCTGAAGGGTGTCTCTCCCTGCAGATGTTGCAGGAGAAACTGAAAGAAAGGAGCCCAGACCTGAGTCTCAGGTTCAGCTGCTTAAGAGAAGGCAGCTGAATCCCTTCCCAAGTGATGCTCTGTGTCAGAAACACAACTCCTTTGCTTTGAAACTAGTCAGCAGCCTGTGTAGCTGCTGTTTCTCATCCCATTCCTATTGCTGCACCTACAAACAGGAAGCAAGTCAGAGAAAGTCAGAGATAGGAGACCATAAACATGGCAGTCACGTATAGCTGAGATAAGATAGACCTCTGGGTCACCCTAGAATGACGTAGTAGATGAAGAACAATCATCCAACAGATGTTTTACATTTGGGCCATCATCCAACCCAGCAGAATTGAAATGCCCTGTGAGCTGCTCCTCTAGTGATGCTGTGGGTGCAGCACCTTTGAAGCCAGCTCATCTGGGAGCCATAGACATGAGTGGATATCAAGAGCCTGATGTCCCTACGAGGGGCAATATTGCAAGTTGGTAGTAGGTAGAATGGGAGGGGCAGTTTTCATCCAATGACGCCCAAAATAAATCACTTTTGTTAAAGTCATGTGATCTCGAATGCTCCTAGAGACTGCTGGGATTTTACCCTTTAAGGTTTCATCTGAAAGAAGCCCATATAATGAGATATTTAAGACAACTCAGTTCCTGAAAAGGCAAAGCAACCAGGTCTGTGTATTGCAGCTGCTGTCTTTACATGTTGACATAAAGAGCAAAGGGCAGGCTGGCATAAAAATCTAGAGTTTCTGCAGGGCTGCTAAGATGAATTAAATCTAGAGTTTTCCAAAAGTGACACTGCTTGGCCCGAGCTCCAGTTTCATACCAGAAATTGGGCAGCCTTTCTCCATAAATTCAATGTGGCCTCAGTGGGCTGGACAGGTCTGTCAAAACAACTCATAATAGTAATTGTGAATCACTATTCTACAATTTTGGGTCTTATCTGAATAAAGAAGTGAAAGAAATTATTTTAGTAGAAAAATTTGTTTAAAAAAGTAGAACTTCAAACAAAGCTGTGGGGTGTTTTGAAGGAACACCTGAATTAACCCTTGCTTTAATATGTTTTTGTGTAAAGCTCATCTGTTGCTATTTTGTTTCTGCTTTCTCTTCAGCTCATGTGCTCCTCAGTCCAAAAAGCCCTGTTTGAGGAGGAGGACAGAGTGAAGAAGCTGCAGCAGAAAGTGGCGACGTTGGAGAAGCGCAACAAGCAGCTGAGAGATCGGGTAAAGAAAGTCAAGAGGTCTCTCCGGCAAGCCAGGAAAAACACCAGGCACATGGAGCAGATGAACCGAAAGCTCAGCGAGAAACTTTCCTCTGCAGGTGGTCAAATTCCCTATATTAACTCTTTAAAGCAGGAGAATTCCCATGCTACCTACCTTAAAGTATAATGTAAGGGTAAGTGCTCAGGCCAATGATAATGGCGAATTTTGCCTGCATTAGATCAGGATCTGGCCCTCACACCTTGTCTACACTGTGCTTCAAACTTTGCATGGAAAATGTATTTGGACTTGCTTTAGACACGGTGCAAGATTAAACAGGAATCCCAACTGTGTCAGGCTGGATGTTGGAGGCACAACCCAAAGCCATCTCCTCGCTGTCCTTGGTGGACATAGGGCCAGACTGTAATCTGTGCTTCTTGGCCCTCACCCTCATCCACCTCTGTCACCAGTTTTAGGTTGTATTTGATGAAAGTGCCAGTTCAGCCTCATGGGCCATTGCAGACACTTGACACAGGAGCTCTTCTTGCTCCTCCACATGGGCTGGTCAAGCAAGGCCAGGGGGATATACAGAGATGGATGCTGGGGGAGGAATGTAGGCTTGAATGCTCTTTGCTCCATCATCACCCTCAAGTCCTCATCCTCCCTTTAAGCTTGACTAAAGTCTACATTCAGTGTCTGAGTAACGGCTATGTCCAGGACACATAGTCAGTTTGGGCCCCTCTTCAAAATGAGGTATAGATGTGCCCAGATTGTCTTCACAGTTTGTAAATATCCTTAAATATTCTAAATAAAAAATACAATATTTTTAATTTTACAAGGAAGTGCCTCAAGGGACACAGTAACTCCCTCAGGTGCTTTTATCATTGCCCAGCCTACAGGGTTGGATACCACATCATTTCAGGACTTTGTCTAGGACCTAATCCAGCTCCTGCAGTTAGGAGTGGACTTAGCCTGGCTGTTCATGGGTGCTGGATCAGGCCCAGCAGACAATTTCAGATCCAGTTTCCAAGCAGGTTTAAATTACAGTGTGGACAAGGCTTCAAGTTTTGTAATCACTGTTTGAGGTATAATAGAGGTTGCTGGGCAGCCTCACTTAGTTACACTTAGATACTGTAGAGACCACATCAATATCAACAGGGCATTAAAAATTAAGGTAGTCTATATATGTGTATATTTTAAAATCCTATAGAAAATATTTTTATTACACATTTGATATAGTCTAATTTCTTAAAATATGAAGTAAATGCCATTTCTTGGTTATCTCATTTAAAAAAAAGTCAATCACGTCCTTTATTAGACATTTACAAACTGACTTCTGCTCAAGCAGCATAAGTTGAGGCATCAGTATCTGTGGCTGATAACATTTTCAGCTGTGTTTATGTACCAGAGCATGTCTTGGTTCTTGGTACTCAACCAACCTTCCTTCATATCAGGGCACCATAAGGAAAGAAAGGTAGAAGAGTTTTTTGTGGTTTTCTTACCTTCTCAAAATAGTTTTTCTTACTCCAAGCATGAGACCCGAGGGCAGATATGCTTTATGCTTTTTGACAGGGGCATCCAGCCCTTGCCCAGCCCCGGGCAACACTGACAATCTGCCAGGGCTAAACCCAATTTGTACAAGGAGGACTGATCCAGATGGTCTTTAACTTAGAAGTGAGGCCATCAGAAATAACAATGTGCAAACCACTGCTCTGCTCCTAGCTCTCCACACTTTACCAGATCACTGCATGGTCTCCATGCTGTGTCTTGGCACTTCAAAAATAGAGTCTATACAGTATATGCAGGTCCTGCTGGACCATGCTTTAACTATCCCTGTGCTAGGAAAAACCCCTATCAGCTTTCAACCATGAGCTTCAGTCCAAGCTGAACTCAGAAGTTAAGCCTTGTGTTGGCTTCTAGGATGCTGCTGAGCGTAATTACCTTCCAGCTTTGCTCCTTTTGGAAATAGAACTTCTTTTTACCTCCCCCCTCCTAAAATAATATTGGCATTTCTTAAGATTCTTACTCCACCACAAACTCCACTGGTTTCAAAAGCTTTGCCTACCGAATCAGCACAATTTGAGTTGTTTTGTGCTGTAGTCAGCAACGCTATTTCCTGAGAATTACTACACACCTAAGGCTTCCCTAGAAGCCATCAAGAAATTTTAACTCCAAAATTTAAAACCATAGGAAAGTAACTATAATTTTTGTTTGCTTCTTTCTGGTTTCTAAACTGCTGTTTAAATAAATGAATTGTTTGTCCTGGTATAGGCATTAAAAGCTTGTGTTCTAATTTTTTTGTTAATAATAATATTCCCTCTGTTATTCATTCATGATTTATAAATATGTGTATAAAGCTGAGAAAGTATAGTTAATATAGCTACATCTTTGCTATTCTTACAAATTTTCCAAACATAGTGTTGAAAAACTTTCTTTTTTGGCTGATACTTTTGTCTCTTGATGAAAAGATTGGAATTTTCTTCCTATTTTCCCCTTTCTCTTTACTTAAAAAGTAAACCATTTGTTCTCCTTGTCAATTTTGTGAGAATTTTGTTACTTTGCAAAGAAAACAGAAACAAAACCCCCAAATGCAAAATCTAAATGAAACCCAAAATGTCCCCTCTAGGTACAAAATCAAAAAAGCTTGT